GTCTAGCTGTTCTGCCTTCTCATTGGTTTTAAACCCAAACATGTGACTGCCTCGTCACTGCCTGTATGTACCGCCCTCCAGGTCCTTAAAGGCGTGCGCCAACGCCGCCACGCACTTGCTTTGGCTCTAATAGCTCTGACCCCCAGGCAACTTTATTTATTAACATACAATTAAAATCACATTTCAGTACAAGTAAAATACCACCACAGTTGGTGTTTGGCATCTCAGAGTCCCTTACTGTCTGCCTTTTGACCAGTCTCTATCTATTGAAAAGAGAAGGTTTGGTATTAGGGTAAGCATTGAAAGTACAGTTAGAATTATATTGGTTTTTGAAAATGGAAGTAGTAGGTTTTTGTCTCAAGTCTATGATCTTTCTGGCTATGAGTAGTGTTTAATAGAGATTTTTAATTGTTATTGCAATGCTATATCCCAATGTGTACTAAATTATAACCTTATTATTTTAGAATAGACTGATATTTCTTTTTCATAAATCTGTATCTACTTATTTTGTGATAAATGAAAAATAATTAACAGGATGGAAAACTAAAGCATTCATTATCAGCTCTTGAATAACTGAGATTTTCCCCATTTTTCTTTTCTCCTTGTGTTTCCATAATTATAACCCTTTCAAATTTCATTTATTTTTAGGAACTATATTTTCTGAAAGCACTTCAAAACAGTCTCATAAAAAGTTTAGACCTTATAACAGCTATTTTGAGCATTCATATTTTGACATAAACATGGTATTCATCTTTAATAGGGTATTTCCTTTTTTTTTTAGGGCAGCCTCTTTTTTTAATTTTAATTTTTTTCATTTTATATGCCATCCACAGTTCTCCATCTGTTCCCTCCTCTTGCTCTTCCCCCACCTCCCAACTACCCAACCCCCACCCACTCCTCTGAGAGGGTAAGGCCTCTTATGGGGAATCAACAAAGCCTGCCCATATCAAGTCGAGGCAGGATCAAGTCCCTTTCCCCTGCATCAAGGTTGAGCAAGGTATCCCACCATAGGGAATGGGCTCCAAAAAGCCAGTTTATGTACCAGAGATAAATCCCAGTCCCACTGACAGGGGCCCTACAAACAGACCAAGCCACACAACTGTCATCCTCTTCTACAGGATTCCCTGAGCTCTGAAGGAAGGGATTTAATGGAGACATCCCATTTAGAGCTGCATTTCCCAAGGATTCTCTTTGTGTAATGTCTGGCTGTGAGTCTCAGCATCTGCTCCTGTCTGCTGTAGAAGGAAGCTGCTCTGATGATGACTGAATAAAGGGCTGATCTATGGGTATCGCAGAATGTCATTAGGAGTCATTTTATTGATAATTTTTTAACCAGTAGTATTTGGTTTTACTTTAGGCCTCTGGGCTATCTAGTCTCTCGTTCTTGGCCACCCAAGCAGTGTCAGGTATGGGTTCTGTCTTGTGGAGTAGGCCGTAAGTCAAATCAGACATTGTCTACTCCCACGAGTTCTGTGCCACCATTGCCTTAGCATATCTTGCAGGCAGGGCAGATTGTAGGTCAAGGGTTTTGTGCCTGGGTTGGTGTTTGTTTCTCTTTTGGTAGACTGCAGAGTACCTTCCCACACCAAAGACATTAGAATGTAGGGGTGAGGACTCCATGTAGGCAACAGCTCTGCTTCTCCATGTTCAATGAGTTGTGTGAGTGTTGTCTTCAGCAATGGGGACTCACTGTCAGTTTGTGCAGAGCAACTCATTGTTTTGGTAACAGCCTGGGTTGTTTGGGGATTTCTATGGGACTTCCTTGGTCAATTGAATGCAACCCTGTCCCGCTACTGGAAGCCTTCTTTGGTGACAAGAGATGGCCAGTTGGGACACCATATCCCCTGTTACTGGAAGACCTCATTAGAATTGCATTTATATATTTTAGGAAGTTTTCACTGCACTAGGTTTCCATATCATCCCTCAAATGCCCCTTAGTTCCAGCTGTCTCTCCCTTAACACTATCTCCCTTCCCTCTACCCACCTGATCCCCCAGTTCCCATCTCCCCCAACCCCAGTGCTCCCCCCAAATCGATTCTATTTACCCATCTCAGGGAGATCCATATATACCCCTAGTCCCTTCCTTTATACCTAACCTCTTTGGGTCTATGGATTGTAGGTTGGTTATCATTTATTTAATGGCTAATATTCACATATAAGTGAACACATATCATATTTATCTTTCTGGGTCTGGGTTATTTCACTCAGGGTGATTTTTTTCTAGTTCCATCTGTAGTTCAACAATGACTGTCTCCCAAGGGAATGGCCAATAATCTGGTACTTGTTCCATTTATGATATCGGATGTCTCAGCAGTCCCAATCTGATTCTAGAATCCCAGAAGATTCCTAGAGAGCTTGTATTCAGGCTGTATTGGAATCCAGAAGTAAATTCTAATAACAGTGAAAGGAGTACAGCAGGACAGATAAATTTGCCAGTGAGAGTGAAGGCAAGCACGTGAAAAGCAAAAGTTTTTTCTTCTATGTCCCTTTATGTGAGCTGTCACCAAAAAGTATCACCCAGAATTAGGGTGGGTCTTCCTACCCTAAATTATCCAATCAAGAAAATCCCTCACAAGCATGCTCAGTTGCTTGGGTTTTAGTTGATTTCAGACACAGTCGAGTTGACAATCAATTAGCCCTCATAGGTATAGTAATTAAAAAAAATAGAATTTAGGTGCCCAATGCAATGCATGATCATTCATTTAAAAATAGTCTATTTGTTTATGATCTTGTATTCTTTAGAAAAGCAAGCAATTAATCATTTTATAGTGCAGTCTTAGTTTTGTTTAGCAGTTCTCATAATAGGCATGATATATATTTGCTTGCCTTTTTTTTTGAGACAGTGTTTCTCTACCTAGCCCTGGTTGTCCTGGAACTCACTATGTAGACCAGATTGGCCTCAAATTCACAGAGATCTGACTGCCTCTACTTCCTGAGTGCTGGGATTAAAGGCATGTGCCACCATGCCCTGCCTTTTCTTTTTATTTTTTTCCTTTGGTTAAAGATATTTGCTGTGTTTTTACCCCAAGCTTCTTTATCTTCCCGTGATTTTTATTTTTTCAGATGTTTATATTTTATTTTATTTATTTAAATTAAAAATATTTTATGTATGTGTATGGGTGTATACCTGTTTGTGTGTACGTACATATTTATTTGCAGATATCCTCAGAAGCTTGAATTGGGCATTAGAGTCCCTTGAGCTGGAGTTGAAAGCAATTGTTATCTGTCTGTTATGGGTGTTAGGAACCAAGCCCAGATCCTCTGTGAAAACAGAAAGTGCTCTTAACTGCGGAGTAATCCCTTAAAGAAATTTTTAGAATGAAGCAACTTAGGAACATAGAAGATTTCACAAAATGTGGAGGAACTAGACACTTTGCAAATACAGAATTCTGAGGACAAGGTGGTGGCTCAGCAGCAGAACATATATTGACATATGTGACTCTCTACATTTAGTCACCAGCACTAACGAACAAGGAACAGACAAAACTGAAAGGCATAGTTCTTTATGGAGTTCCAAGTATAGGACTTTCATTTTTCTATTTGGAATGGAGGATGCTAAGAATTAATTAATTAAGTGAAGACAATTCATTGATAATACTTTGTCTTTGAATGTTTCAAATGATACTTTTTGTTTGGCCTAAGTTTTGAGAGGAGTCTTCTGTGTATTCCAGACTGACCTTGAACTCATAGCATTCTCTATGTTTCAGCCACTTGAGTGCTAGGATTACCAGAGTGTGCCATTGTGCTTGGCTCAAATATTCCTTTTCACATATTGTTAGTCAAAAAAAAAATTCTAAGCATAGTACTTTACCTGTAACCTCTCCTGATTTATTTGAAGACAATATTTACTTTATTCTGAAGAAAACTAATTTGTTGATGCAAAATTCTTACTATAATTCAACTTGATGGACAGTCTTCTCTGCTGTATTTTAAGAATCTCTGGAATAATATTTCCTTGCTAGACTTTTTGGAAGCAGGTGCTGTGTTGATGTCCATGGACCATGTTACCACTGAAGGCCAGATGGAGTTCTGTGGTCTGTGCTGCCACCTGAATCAAGTTAGTGTCAGTGGCCTGTGCTGCCACTCAGTGCTGTGAGGGTGACTGTGGTCTGTGCTGTGGCCAAGGGCCATATTGATGTCTGTGGTCAGAGCTGCAGTCAGATACCAGGTTGAGGTCCGAGGTCTGTGGTGATATATTGTGTACCCTAATAAACTTGCCTGAGGATCAGAGGACAGAGTCAGCCACTAGATTAGACATGGAGATCAGGCAGTGGTTGCACACACCTTTAATCCCAGTACTGGGAAACACACATGCCTTTAATCTCAGGAAGTGATGTCTGGGCAGAGAAATGTGTATAAGGTGTGAGGAAACAGGAACTCACGCTCTTTAGACTGAGGATTTCATAGAGGTCAGAACTAGTGGCTGGCTGTTCTGCTTCTGTGATCTTTCAGCTTTCACCCTGATATCTGGTTCTGTTTTTATTTATTTATTTATTTATTTATTTATTTATTTATTTATTTATTTATAAATAAATTAAAAGACCATCTAAGATTTGAACAACAGAGGTCCATGCTGCAATGGAGTCCATATGAATGTCAGTGGTCTGTTTCCTGCAGAAGGCTGCATGGATGTCTGTGCTGCCATATAAAGCCATGTTGATGTCCATGGGCTGGAAAAAAAAAAAACTGACTCCATTTAGTGCATCTAGTATATGCCAGGATGTGTATATATGTATTGAACCATCTACTAGAGCATAAATAGCCCCCAAGAGCTGCATCCATGAAGTAAACTGACTCACCCTCCCCAAGCAGTCATTAATAGCTCTTCAGCTAGGGGTGGGATTTCATATGCTGGGATTTTGTTTTGCTTGATCTTGTGCATATAGTCATAGCTGCTGTTAGTTCATGGCTACCATGGTCCTTTTATGTTAAGCAAATACTATTAGACTTCAGATGCCCATTACTTCTGGGTCTTATAATCTTTCTGTCTTTTCTTCCAGGGTGATTCCTGAGATTTGATTGGAGGGAGTTCCATTTGGAGCTGAGTACTGCCTCTGCACTTGACCACTTGTAGGGAAACATTAATTGCCATCTACTTCAGAGCAAAGCTTCTCTGATGAGAGTTGAAAAATGCTCTAATCTGTGGATATAGAGATAAGGTTAGTTGTTATTGTGGTTTGCAGAATTCACATCTGGGTAAGATTGTGATGACTTTCCTACCCCAGTATCCTGTATAGAGTCTTCCAGCACATAAAAGCTAACCAGTAGGGATGGTGTTTCCAGGTTGGTACCAGCTTGATTTCTCCATGTTCTGTAATTCAAGTTTGTGGTGGCTTTGTCAATAGGGTCTTGCTGTTTAGTTTTGGGAGTTAACCAAGAGCAATGGTGATGTCTATGATGTTTGGTGAGGGTCTCTATGGTATACCACTGACCAACAGCTTGGAAAGAGGTAAACCATATCTAGTCTTGGGCTTCTGCTTTTGACTTATTTGTTTGTTTATTTATTTGTTTTTGTTTTTTTGAGATAGGGTTTCTCTGTGTAACTGCCCTGGCTGTCCTGGAACTCATTTTGTTTTAAAATTGTGTGTGTGTGTGTGTGTGTGTGTGTGTGTGTGTGTGTGTGTGTGTGTGTGCCTGTATGTCTGTGTGTCTGTGTCCTACAACCAAAGTGTGCAATGTCTTTGACAATTGAAGCTAACCAGTTACTCAGGATGGGCAACTGAGAACTGTATTTTGTATTGTTTTGGGTGTCTCTGAGGCTTCCCTGACAAGTAAAATTGGCAAAGAGGTAATATATCCAGCACTAAGATTTCATTTAATAACCCATGTCTTCTGGGAGCGTCATTCTTCACTAACATGAGGTACTTCAGTTCACACTACTTTTTTGTTATAATTTTAGTTACAAACTAGTGGGGTTTCATAGTGCTTTTTAATAATCCTTAGTTTGATTAACTCATTTTCTTCCTCTTTCCTACCTTCTCCATCTCCATTTCCCAATCCACATCCCCACTTAAACTTTTAGACTCCAATATTCTCAGGGGCTACAATATTATTCTATGTTTATTCTGAGTGTACTTCTACTTGGTTATATCATACATTTTATTTGGTGGGAGAGTTGTTTTTAAACCTTATTTCAGGGGAAGAAATTATTTTGAAGAAGACATAGACGTAGTGTCTGGTTGGGGGAGGGATTACTACTGGCCTATCAGGAGGCTAGAAGCTGAAGAAGTGCAGTGAGGGTTGAATTTGGCTTAGCTGGAGGGCTGAGGAAATAGAGGATCTTCAGAATTACTTGCCCATCAGAAGTTTAGGACAATAAATGTGCATATCAGGAGAAAATGGAGATTCCTGCTACTAAGTCAGGGACAGTTTGATTCTCGCTGTTGTAGGGCAGCTAAATGTGGTAATTTTCTCATTGAAGGACAAGACAGGGTTATGAAGTAAGCCTTACAATTTAGATCCCACCACTAAGGAAGCCTAGAAGTTTGTGTCCTAAACTCTGCCTTAGTTTATCTTTTATTTAAAACAAGTGACTGATATTTTGTACTGTAATGACTTACCAAGATGCAGAAGAGCTGGGGCTTTACAGATCACCCTTTCATGAAAGACTAATTTAAGTTTTTTTGCGCATGGAAAAACAACACAGCAAACCAGAACATTTTGTTGGTAGTTTCCCTTACTAGATTATTAAATATCCCCACTCTTGTATTTTGAAATGTGTGTAGGTTTGTAAATACAGCATAGCACTTTGGGTGATACCTAAAGTAAGGAAGGCCCTGCTTAATTATGTAAGTCAGCATGAGGTGGCTGGTGAGCATGAGTCGAAGTAATTTTCATGGCATGTGAAGAAATCTTCCTCATCCTATAGATTGCCCTCCACTGTACAAGGTTTTTACTGTACATATTTTGTTTAAAGTCTTACTAAAAGTATTAAAACAATTCCCATTATTTACACAAAATTTTACATTTCTTTTCAATTCTCCAGAGAAAATCTTTTACTTGAAATCTGGATGTGGTGTGAAGAAAGCTGCTTTGGTTGCTATGACATAGCTACCTGCTTTAGAAAATGCTTGTCCCTCTAGAGGGCAGTGCTCCACTTCTGCATCCCAAACCGTGGAAGTAGGGCTGCCTTCCTGAAAGGCTAGATGTGGTTCCTGTGGCTCATTGCCTCAAAACAGTCATTTAACAAAACAGGTTTTGAACAAGAAAATATTCAAGATGAATACAACTCCCATAAGCTAATATTTGATTTGGAATTTTAAGGGCAATTTCTTTGGCTTTTCTTTTGTCCTTTCTAAGAATGTGTAAAAGGTGCTTAACCTATACTCCACATTTAGTTTATAACTGATTCTATTTTCTGAAAAATACCCCTAAAATCTATTTCTCTTAAGGTTCCATATTTGTCATTAGACATGCTTATGAAACGAAAAATTTAAAAATCCAACTAAAATAAAATACCAGAGAATTCTGTGTGTCTTCTGGTTTCATTTTTCTATTTTCTTCCCACAATTCTTGTTATTTATGGTTTCCTTTAGTTTTTGATTAGTATTTTAAATCTAGATATAGAAACTGGTGAAATAATTGTAATAAATGTTGTCATATTTATTATTACTACATTTCAGATGATTCTTCTTGTGCCATAGTCATCTTCTTTCCTTTCTTTCCTCCTTTATCTTCTGCCTGGTGTCTTCCACCCTCCTCATCTTCCACCTCTTCTTGTAAAATTTTCCATGAAATAAATATATTTCTTATAAAAATAGCAGTCTCTTTGATCTAGTCTGCCCACTTCATTTTTTTAAAAAGCAAAAGCAAATATAGAATTAATTAGTGTGACAGGCAGAAATCTATGATCATCCTAAACTATTCTGGGCCTTTATGTTTGCTGTGAAGGGATCTTTACAGATTATTTTAATAAAGGAACTCACTTAGTAATAAAAACCCTTTAAAGTCTGTGTCTTGTGATCAGAGCCAGAAGATTGGTAAGGATATTGAAAAAGTGACAGGTTTTCTGTTCAAGAGAGGGTCTTTATTGATGGTTTTGTACTGGAGGGGAGCCACCGAGGCAATGACCTCACAGTGGCCTCTAGTGGCTGAGAGCAGTCCCTAGAGCAGACCCTAGAAAACCAGTGCCCAGTTCTACCAAAAAACAAGAAACTGAGTTCTGCTAAAACCAGTAATCATGGAAATAGACCCACGCTCCAGATGAGAATGAATCTCAGATAGCACTTTTATTTCAGTTTTGTGACACACTGAACAAACATTAGACTTTGGACTTATAACAACTGTAAGATAATAACTAAGTATAATGACTAGGTATAATAACTGTTTTAAGAATCTAAGGTTGTTGTTATGCAGTGGTAGAAACCGAGTAGAAAGTTAGTAAAGTTCTTTAATATCATGTGTAAGAGGTTTCTGGAAAAGCGTAAGCTGTCACATAATTAGATACGAAGCAACAATGCTCAGCAATTGTGTTTTGCCAATGTGCAGCTCCTTCTTCTACAGTATTTGCTATTGGGTTGGACTGATGCCTCACTTCACAGGTAAGACTTGGTGAGCTCACACCATTTAGAGCATATTACTTCAAGAAGATGTGACCAAAGCTCTTCTAAACTAAATAAACCTTGGGGCATTTGGGCTGGACTGTTGGGGTATATGCTTTCCCTTTCTTTTGAGCCTGTTGATGTGAATATTGAAGTTCATGGGTTTTAAAGATTCGAAGTCAATTCTGAAGTTTCTCAAAGGCTTCTGGTTTGTATTTGAAGATTAAGTGATACACTCAGGCAACTAAGGAGTTCTGAGAGTGGAAGAAATAGTCTTCCCTAGGGAAGAGCATGGCAGTTGGTTACCAAATGGTTACTCTGAAAACAAACGTAGAAATAACTTTATATTAATTGAGCTGGTTGTATTTATGTATTTAACAATAATTAAAGAAAAAGAGGCCATGGACTTGAAAAGACCAAGGAGGGCTAGGTATGTGGGAGGGTTTGGATGGAGGAAATGAAAAGGGAAAATGTTGTAATTATATTATCTCAAAAATTATTTCTTTTAAAAAAGAAAATTAGGTGAATACAGAGAGACCAAAGGTATTAAAATGCCTCTAGGTTCCATTCAGTCCTGGATTAATATAAATGTGCTCCCTGACAGTTAAATTATTTTTGACAATATATCTTCCTCTTACTTTAAAAACATTTGATTGTCAAATGCCAGTTTACTATTGCGAGGCGTGAGCTTAGTTACTCTTCAAGAATAACTGTTTCAGCTGCTGTTCCATTGCACATCAGAAGCCATCGGCCCACTGCCTATTCAGCTGCCTTCGAAGAAAAGGGCACTGTACCTTTTCCAAATTGCGAAGGCCACTTCAGGGATGGTGCCATATTGTCCTGGCCTCAGAAGATGCCTTTTGATAAAGCCATAACCACACTCGTTTTGGCAAGAATCAGTAGTCCTTTGTTTCATGTCCTGTCTGTCCATTTTGTCAGCAGTTGATTCAAGGATACTTTGTTGTCCAGTGGCTAACTTTTGCCACAATGAAAGTTAACTCCATATCAGGTGACTGTCCAGGCAGCTGGCTGTTTCTGTCAACTCACAAATTTTTTGGAAGTTGCTTGCATGCACTTTCTGTTTTTATTTTTGTTAGCTAATATTATTTCCTTCTTGGGTCTCTGAGGGAGTTGAAGATTAGTTAGTTATAGTTGAAGGTTAGTTAGTTATAGTTGAAGATTAATTAGGATAGAAAGTGAATTAGATACATTTTGGACTTAACAAAATAGGATAGATAATGAAATTATTTTCTCTGAATTTGTCAAATACAAATGGACTAGACATTGTTTAGACATTTATTACTTGTATATATTGTATATAGTCATTGTACTTTTGTATATAGTTTTTCTTTTGTTAGTTATAACCTTTTTCTTTTTTTCCTTTTTATTAAAATAGAAAAGGGGAAAAAAAACATTTGATTGATTCTTGCATTGAATTTATTTCCTACAACTAAAGAATAAATAAACTTATAGACAAGCCATGATCTCCTTGACTTTCATGATACCTTTCTTCATTTTAAGAAAATATTTTCCCACCAAGTGATTCTTGTTATTTGTATATTTCCTTTAGTTTTTGCCTAGTCTTTTAACTCTAGTTATAGAAATTGGTAAAAACAATT